CCGGTTGCATTCATTGTCTGGCTCAGCGGGGGTTCATATTTCGAAACCTTGGCAGTGCAGTGGCATGTGAAAAATGTCCCAAACGCCAGGAGGACAGGGGGAATACAGAACAATAGGACATGCTAATGTTTAGCGTTTGGTTCTCTATTATCATGCTAACATGGTCCATGAATGTCAGGCTTTGGTTTCAAGGGCGGTATCACTAGAACTGATGTTATTTGGCGAAATTAGTGCCGACAGCATTACGGAACAGAAGAGGACCAAGTAAATTCTTATATGGTCAAATTTACTGTTAAAATAAAAAAGTTTAAAGAAAATAACAAGTCTATAAAATTGACTGACGATGTTTAAACTAACACACAAGGCTTGCTTTACCTGTATCACGTTCCAAAGTTCAGTCAAACTGAATTAAGTGTGGCGTTAAGTCAGAGCTGACTCTTCAGGTGGCTGCTCACTTTTTCTTGATGCTAGCGGCTCAATGCTACATCAGTTGCCACTTGTTTATCATATCTACATTTCTTCAGTCAGTTGTCAACTTACATTTTCAGATGTGTGAGAATCTGGTCTTAAGAAAAACAGTCAAAAATCTGAAGAAACAGAAATGGTTTATTTATTTATAAACCATTTCTGTTTCTTCAGATTTGTTTTCAAACTGTCCTTTATTAGTTACAGACTGTATATAACCACCATGACATTAACATTTGGTTTGTGAAGGATTGATATTTGTATTGTGGCCAATGCCATGTGGGGTTTTTGGAGGCAGAAGTGATAATATTTGGATGGAGGGTGTATTGCTAAAAGCTAGCTAGCTTGGTTAGCAATATGTATCCATAAACTGAATGGAGCCTCACACAGACACAGAAAGGCAATTAGTGCTAAAACTTACATAAAAAATACTAGAATTCAACTCAGCAAATCATTAGTAACCAGATAAATAAACCCAAAAAGGTTGAGTAATCCAGTTTTGTTGGTTGAAATAGCATAGTTAATAACTTTATGAAATTCAAATTGATCCTTTAAAAGAACATCAGCATAAAAGATTATATTAGCAATATAGACAAATTTTTTTTTATGCCCGGCTGTCAACAGGTTTATTTCTGCTGTAAAGTTGGACTTTTTTCCAGAGTCTGTGGGGATTGACTCACTTTTAGACCCACTCCCAAAGGACCCCTTGAGGAAATGCAGTTTTTGGCACCAGCTCACTTGGCTTAATTTTTCAGCCACAGATGTTTATCAGACAGTATTGCACACGACCACAAAGCTAAATCACCGGAGGACCTTTGAACAACTGTCTGACAGCCAGCAAAGAACATGCCAAATGTGGTTCACTGTAAATAGAGAAAAGCTTTTTGTCATGTGATAATAGTTCCTTCAACAAATCACTCACAGTTGGGTTCTTTTGCCTCAATAGAGGCTAACAGCCATAAAAATGCCAGAGAAATATACTGTGGTGAGGCAATCACACAGTTCACATGAGGTGTAAGAGTGTGTCATTCACTGTCCCCCATAGGCCGGCGATAATCCCGTTGGCGTTTTATGATCGCCTAAGTGCGTCAGACTGTTTCCATTCCAAACGGATCCTCCAGCCACCTTGTTTCTGTACTCTTACTCCACATATCCAGAGCTCTTTGCGTCCTGGAAAGAGACAGTCGATCGTTGGCTGTTGACCAGAGGCAGGGGGAGTGTCACTGAGTGTGAGTCTGCTGAATACTCATATTCAGCAGAGGCAGTTGGATAGGATCCTGTCCACATCTATTTGCTGTGATTACAATTTACACTGTGAGGTCTTGACTGAGAAGTTTGGACGGGGTAAACGTCACACACCCTGATCTGGAAGCTATTGAAATAAATGTATTTTTCAATGAAATTATACATACATACATACATACATACATACATACATACATACATACATACATACATACATACATACATACATACATACATGTTTTCTGACATTTAATCATTTATTCATGGAAGCAGCAAGGTAAACAGCTAAGGTTTGATTGTAATCTAGTGTCACTAGTATCACTCCTACTTGCTTGTCCACTATTTCTGCTGCATTGATTGTTAAACAACTCTTATTTTAGCAGATGATCTCTGCTAAACACCTCTGGGTTTCAGTAAGGATGTTTCCATAAGCCTATTTGAATCACACGCTTCTTGTGAAACTCACAAGTTTTAAACTTAAACCAGTAAAAATGTGGAACATTGTCTCAGTGTGTGCTATGTAGAACAAAGCATGCAATGCTGTGTGATCCAAGCAGACTTAACCACCCTGCCTATATGCAAGTAAACTCAAACTCAAAAACTGTGTAATTGTGACCTCTAGTGGCTCTACATCATAGCATAGGCTGCTTTGAACACTTGAAATGTGCATCAGTATGTTTTGCTACACTTAAAATTCCAAATAGTTTAGAAATTTATTTGCAATCTAAATTCTAAATTTCTAAACATCTCCAAGCTTAATTTGACCAACCAGCTGCTCTTTGTAGGCACCTGTAGCATCATCATGCAGGTGTAACACAGTCCCTGATCAATAACCTGAAGAAAACTGAAACTGCGGAGTTTTAAATCTTCAATTTCCTCCAAGGCTGGTTGCGGTGGGATAAATTCATCCATGAGAAATCAATATATAAAAACTTTCAGCAAAGAGGTCGTCAACACACATTTTGAACTCTACAATTCGTCTGGATGGTATTTTCCTCTCAGCTTCATATTAAATTATAAAAAGTCATTGAACAAAGGACATTAATTATTTTCCTCTGTCTGGCTAAGTCTTACTGTTCAGCAGCATAATTCAGTTAAAATCTGTAACATGAAGTACTACTTCCAGGTAATAAACGAAATAAAACAAAAAAAAACATTTACTACAACTGCGATTAATATCATTTGGTCACAGACACACACACTGACTCAAGTCACCTTTTACAGGGCTTAATTTGCTCGTCAGTTATGGGAATTAATTTCAAACAATGTCTAAAATTCAGTCAGAGTGAATAAACATTAGTGGACACCACAGTAGATCACCATCCAGTCTCACCCCGTCCCTACTATCCTCCTCTGTCACACCAACCCTCTGCATGTCCTTTGTGTGTGACATATACTTACTAACTTTGTAAGTCTCACTTAAAACCCTGAACAAGCAAATTTTCTTTCAGTGCAATTTTCCAGAATCAAATAATGGAAACTTTGGTTGGTTTCAACCAACCAATACTCCTACTTGTGCTTTTTATCCAGTTTTTATCCAAAAATATTATTAATTGTCTGTATCTTTGGTATTTGGTAAGATTGCATCCAAAGAAACAGAACATCTCTTGTTGAACTACATTTTGTGAAGGATATGATCTGAAAACTTAACAGTATTATATTCTAAAACCTCCAAAACTGTAAACAAATAACATCCATAGACCTTTTATTTAGAATTGCATTTACATCTACATTTTATTTTTCATATTTCACACATGATTACAGGCTATAATTCTACCAAGTTGGAAAAGCCATATTCTACCTGATGCTCTTTGTAGGCAACGCCTTCACACTGCAGCATCGGGAAATGCTGCTCTGAGGAGATCTTTTAGTGAGTTTAAAATCCAAAAAGGCGTGATTGGACATCAGTGAGGAAAGAGGTTAAGAAAAACACTTTGAGTAGTAATAAATATCAGAAAAATGTAAACCAAGCAAAAGGAGAATTTACACAGCAGCAACTAAACTTCATGATGGCACAAAAACACAGGAGAGATGCAAAAGCTTCTCCTTGCAAGTGTTCTCTGGTGTACAGTTAAACCTACAAAAGAAACAAAAGTAACTTGGAAGCACCTGTCATGGTGACAAATGTGCAGGTGTAAGGATTTATGTGAGTGTAACAAGGCCCAAGTTGTAATGGAGTATGGAGAGAAAGTTGCCTCAGAAGGGTTACAAATGGGTACAGACAAATCTGCAAGCATGAACTAAGACTTATAAATGTGTGCAGTAATTTGTGTGTAACTTTTGAGGACTCACAAGCACGCGCTTCAACAAATGTGTACTTCCAAATCTGAATAAATACTGATTATTTACACAATTTATTAAGTTCAGCTTCACGAATTGTGTCAGTTGTGTTTGGCAGCAAAATAGGGACCAACACAGTATTAGGCAGGTGGTCGTAATGTTGTACCTGGTGTATGATTTAAATATAGAACAATATAGAACAATGGTTTGTATCATAAAAACATAAAATACATCTCAGTTACAAACAATGTAAATAAGTGTTTTTGACAGTACAGTACAAGTGACCCAGAAACTCAATGGAAAAAGTCTTTGTCCTGGAATTTTAAAAACAGCTTTCACCATATAAGCATATTTGATATTTGACTGCATTGTACAGAACAGTTTTTGCTATAATATGCATTTTAAAACATTAGTTTACTTATATATAATTCATTGTAAAACAATTTTAACTCATCAGAAGAATTATTTTGAAGTGACACAATCTTCCATTCACTTTAATCAGATTAATTTGATCTTTTGTAATAAATTTCTGCCCTTATTGACAGGCTACCGACTTTGATGTTCACTGCTCAAAAATATTAAAGGACAGCATCAAAATATGAGTGGCAGTAGAAGAAGTCTATGAGTAGAGACCCTGGACACTCATATTAAACCCCTTAAGATTGCTTAAAATGACTTCAACATCGAAAGGAACCAGTTGAGCTTCCTGGGTAAAGTGTTCTCGCCGTGCATGTCCTACTGGGAGGAGGCCCTGGGGTAGATTATGAAGAGTCTCCACTATAGCAGAATACAACATTACACAAGAGGGGAAAACTTGTAGTGATGGATTGCTGTTTCAACGGGGTCAGAATAACCAACATGTATTCTGCTATTAAATTAGAGCTCAGCAATTATTAATGGAAAACCTGGATATTAGTAGGATACTTCTAAATGGTTTGAAATGCTATGTACTGAAACTACAGCAACATAGTTTTATTATTACTGAAAGAAAAATGTTTAAAAAGCAGCGTTAGAAGTAGTTTCATTTTATTCCATTAAACACTCCACTTTTGTGAAACTTCATGTGTGCTGTAACATCTGTGTTCTCTTCAGTAGTAGTTAAAACTCTACTAACAATATAAACATATTTCATGCTGTCACCTGGTGCCCATACATAGCTATAACACGTATACAACCAATCTCAGTGTATCATATACAAACTATCAAGACAAAATCATTTCACATGCTTCATTTTTTATTCCTTAAGATTTAGTATGAAAATCTGAGGATAGTCTTTACTTCAGTGCCCTGTTTTGAAAAGCAGAAGGGTATATCTCACACAGTTACATCAAAATTGTGGGAATGTGCAAGTGTGTATATACACTGCTCAAAAAATTAAATTCCCTTTACTATTATTTAATTTCATCCTAGCTAAAAAAAAATTACATATGATCTGATCTCAGTTACTTTATAATGTTTTTCAGTTGTGGATACGTTGCATCAACGTCAGGATCTTTAAGAATCTGGAGAAACTGATTGCAGGTCTCTTCACCTTTACTCATCAGAAGATCTATCAGGTTGGTAACAGTTTGTTCTGGGTTAGAGGAGTGCTTCAGATTTCCATATTGTCTGGGAGAGAGGATTCCTTTGGCATGCACACACTGCAGAATGAAGACATCCCCCATCAGGCAGTTAATGAGTTCCACCTTGTGCTCCTTGATCTTTCTCACAGCAGGACCCTGAAAAAGATGACAGCGTGTTGTTGATTAGTCTGAAGTAAATGTATTCTTTTTTTCTAGGCATTTGTATAAATTCTTGATTTTTTTTTTCTTTTTTTCACTGGTGCCATGTATTCCTCTTTTATCCATGCCAAACTACATTATTAATTACATTTAAAGGAAAATATTTTTCCAGCAAAATACTGAAAGACTGAAAAGTCCAAGTGAGGAGGCTTAATTCACAAAACTTCAGTCCAGAAAAAACAAATTCACCTGTGTGATTAACTGTTTTCACTATTTTTATTATGGAAATGTTATTTATAAAATTTATGAAAAGCTCTATATATTCACTTGCTGAATACAGAAGATGTTCCACCATGTTGTTGTGTTAAATCAAAAGTCAAAACAGTCCTCTCCCAGGAGATTTTAGAGCATACTTCCACCTGCTGACAAGCTTAATGGAAATGACAATTTCCTTTTTCAGCAGGACTTGGCACCTGACCACAGTGCCACAACTCTTATTAAATGACTTGCCAACCGTGATACTATTGTGCTCGACTGGCCAGCCAACTCGCCACACCTGCACCTCATCTTTGGGATGACACCAAACGGAAGTTGAGAAACACCCAAATCAACAGAGAACTGCGAAGGTCACTACCAGGCTTTGGGAACACTCAGCTGAGCTAAATGTCACCCTGCACTGAGCCACTTATTTTGAAGCAGCTCCAACCATGTACCGAGTGGATAAATGCACTCTTTTGTAAGAAATCCTTTTTTGACTGACTTTAGACAATATTCTAATCATTTGAGACGCTCTAATTTGGGATTCTTAATGAGCTTTGACCTAAAATTATCACAAAAAGCTTGAAATGTTTCACTTTACATGTTATATTGGTCGAATTTACCTTTTAGAATGAAATGACAAAAATGAACATTCAAATTTTTATTATGTTTACAATGATACACTGAGGAGGGCAAATCAGTCTTCTCAGGAAGAATAAACCATGCCCTATAACCATGCCAGTACCGTGGCACATTTAGGAGAAAGAGCTGCATAAGGTAACAAATTCTAAAAACAAAAAATACACTTTGACCTCATAAGTGATTGTGTGCCAGATCATTGGCCAACTAAGAAAATATTACAATTGTTCATTTGAGGTAAGACCTACTATGTGCAATATTTACTAAAACTGTAGGATATCCGTTTTTTCCCCTGTTTGTGTAGGAAGCATAACTTTAACTTCAACTGACTTATCCCAAAACCATCAATACCATCTTGTGTCAGTGAACACCTCTATGTGTGTTCTTGCCAGTAACACTATTCTTGTACTGTACCTCAGGAGGTGGCTGTGTGTCCTCTACCATACCTGAGAAAAACCATCAGGAATTACTTACTTTCCAAAAGTCTTTTTTTAATCTTGCATAATTTGATTTATGAATTACAGACTAACAAAAAGCAACAACAATAATTACACATTTAAGGTCAAAATATTACCTGTGTTTTCTTGTGGTGCATTCACACTCACTGAGAAATTTATACACTCATCAACATGGACACCTGATATTTTATCAGCACATATAACACCGCCGCCACTTGCAGTGAGATCTGCTTGGGGTTTAATATTTCCTGTAAGAAGCAGAAAAAATAAGAAGAAAAAATTTATTTCCAGCTTGTTGTAATAAAATCTGTATAAAAAGACTCAAACTGAAAACAAACTTGAAATATGTTTGAAAATAGCTACTGACTCAACTGAAATACAGCAAAATAGCTGTTTCACTGCTTGTATAATAATGAACTACTACCAAACCAAATTAACTTCAAATTCACTCAAATCGTTTTTATTCCCTATCCTGATGCTTGGTTTGAGCTTCAGCAGCTTGTCTTGAACATGTCTACTTGCCTTAATGCACTGAGATGCTGCCATGTGACTGGCTGAGTAGATGTTTGTATTGACAAGCAGTTGAAAAGGTGTACCTAATATAAAGTGTTAATGAGTGCATTTAATGGTTTCCCTTATATGATTCCACATAGAAAAAAATATAAAAAAAAACCTCTTACCAGACAAACTGCTGTCTGCCGGCTGGCTTACTGTTTGAATGTTAATTGAAATGTTTTTTGCAGTTGTGTTTGTAATTTCTCTGCAGGACACAACACTGCTACCATCAGCAAACATGCTTGGAGTGGATGAACCTGGAACTATAAAATAGACATATATGAATAATGTAATCTCAGCTTTCCTTTGGTGGTAATCTCACAGGCCGAGGCTCATTTTCGGCCCAGACCACACGGGACTTTCACACACCTTCAGCTTCAGTGACGAAAAACTGCTTCAGTTGTGGGAAGTGTCCTTGGTGCTTCCTCAGAGTGTCAATAAAGTTCTGACAGGTGTCTTCTCCTTTTTGAATGATTATTTCCAAGAGTTCTCTCATCTGCTCTGAACCACTGCTTTGCTTTATTACCTTTTTATATTCATTCACGGATAGGATATCCCCGCAGTGCTCCAGGATGTACTCAGGGTCACTCGAAAGCCATACGCACAGTCTGTTGAGCTGTGAGTTTAGTTTGTCCGTGGCCTGAAATAGTGCAGACATACTGTGTGGAATTCAACGTTTTTCTTGAGCATGACACAGACTTTAACGCAGTTCGTGTGAGAGACTCAGACTTGTTTGTCCGGATGTGGGTCTGCGTGCATCATACATAGTGAGCTTTTTTTTTTTTTTTTTTTTTTTTTTTTTAGCGGTGTTACTATTTCTGAACTTTGAACGGTTTTATCTTTGGCGTAAAATGAAAACTATTCAAACGGAATCGAAAGTGTTTTACTGGGTTAGCGTAATATCAAGGGTCACGTGCTCTGCCCGATTAGGTACTAAATGAATAAACTCAAAACCTCACAAGTAAAGATTCTGGTACCATGCTGGGAAGAAGCTTCTTCTGCTATAATGGTGCCTTTAAGGACCTCTCTTAAAATATGTGCCACATATGGAATAGATTACATGGCAATAGATTGCGTAATTTTCTGTGCGTAAAGGACCAAGCCGCTTACGCCCCTGTACATGCAAACTATTTACAGAGCCTTTACAGAGTAGCATGTATAGGCTAAAATAAAACCGATGTTTCTTAATGCATATCAAGTCGAAATAATATCACTGGTAGAATTACATAGACTACATTACATGGCAAATAGATGCTGCTTACCTTTGTTGACAGAAAATCAGTCATGACTTGACTCTAAAGCGAGCGATTAAAGTTTAGCAGGAAAAGGAAGGGCCAGGGCTTCTTGTGGTTGTCGTTCTGTGAAATAAAAAAGTTTCGTTACTTCCTGATTCTGTTGACGTGGCATGCAAACACATCGACAGGCATGCGAACTACAGTATAATACTGGTAACACACAGGCAGCATACTCACATGCCCAGTTAGGATCCCAGCTGGCCCATCTTTAGTTTTCCCCATTGTAAATAAGATGTGAGACAGTTTAGGTTCAGACTACTTTATGAAATCAAACTGAACACAACTTAGAAATCTTGAGAAAATAAACAGCCTGCTTCATCAGAATGGCCTTGTTGATGATGTGACCACATGCTGTTTTTGGAGTTTAAAAAATGTCATAAATGTGCTTAACTCCGGCTGAGCATACTCAGAACTGACTGAGCTGACTGATCAGCTGCTCAGAGTGAGGCTGGGTTTGTTAAGGTGCTTTCTGAAAGTCCAGTTTTTTTCTAATTTTACATTTTGCAAAATAATCCAAGAATCAGATTGTGCTGTGTTTGGCTATTGATTGATTTATTGCGTAGTGTTAATTACTCGTTTTTTTTGTTTTGAGGTTTCTCTTCTTTTAAGGTGAAATTAGAATCAGCAGACTAACTGGTGGGTTACAACTGTGGTCAAGGTCTCTGTTGCTCAGACTGGTATCGAATCCTATCAGAGCTCAGCTGCTTATGTGAATTATGAAATGTACCAATCACGCTGCCTCTTTCTAACTCCCTGTTTCATAAATGTAGATTCTACCTTATGTCAGGTACATGGCGGGTTACAAAGGTGAGCTTCATGAGTCTGATCCCTTCTCTCGGTGTGCATTGTTGCTCCTTGTTGCAAATATGTGCAGTGTTGAGCCACCTTCTCTTTCTTTATATGTTGCTAAGAAAATGGGAAGTAGATGCAGCAAGCATTTTTTTGCCTTCTGTTCTGTCCTCCTGCAAGATGACACTGCTTCAATAGTGTTGAGGTCCATGTAGGTGATATTAAGGTGTTTTATAGTTGTAGATACTCACTGTTGTACCTCTCTCCTCTCCGTATAAGTTGGCACTTTGAACTAAAACAAACATCACAACATAAAACTTGTTGGACTAATTTTCAGAATAGTTCTTGTGTAAAATTGCATACCTCAGCCTTTTCTCAAGAATGGCTCCTTCCACTGCAACCATTTCTGATGAGGTTTTAGTGAAAAGCAGATGGAACAACTGAAAGGACAGATGCATCTCAGGACCTTATTTTTTATCTTAGTATGAGACTGGATTGAAAATGAGTGAAAACGCAGCCAATGTCCAAAAAAAAGGGAAAAATAACACAAAAGTCTGGCTCCTTGGGACGTCAGCCAGTGATGGTTTCTAACAATTGGCTCAAAATTCTGAATGTATATGTTCTCAATTATATCTATAATTCAGCATTTTTAGAATAGAGAGAGAGATGAAAGGCAAAGGCAAAATGTTTTAACCGACAAACTTGTTTTTCTGTTTCTCTTTTAGCAGTTCAGCTGTTTTCAGGTCTGTAATTTTAAATCGAACATATTATGACCACCCTTACTTTAAACCTTTCCTTCGTGTGTTTCAGGGATTTAGTGGCTTGAGCCAAAAGGCAATATCTGGGCTCTGTATTGGCCCTTTCTTCTTCCTTCCTGCTTCACATAGACCTGTTTGCCCTCACACCCTGTGTTCCACTTGTTTTTCTATTGCTATTTGTAATTCACTGTATTTACAACACTCACATCTCCACACACATGCATACCCTAAAGGAGTGTTCACCTTTTGTCATGGCTCAAAGTTGCCAGGTTGTGACAGTACTGGCTATTATCGAGGTGTTAGCTAGCACTGTTGCTTCCCAGCAACAAGACTGAATCCAGCCTGGAGCCTGTCTGTGAGAGCTCTGGCTTGTCTTTTTGGTACATGGGTTCCTCCCACAGTCCAAACACCTGCATGGGGTTTGGTCCACTGGTGATCCTGAACAGGCTGAGAGTGTGAATGTTTGTCTGTCTCCGTGTTAGTGCTGAGACTGATTAGTGACCTGTCCCGGGTTTACCCCACCTCCCACTGTGACTTGAATAAGTAGAAAAAAATGGATGCATGTATTTTTCCTGCATTAACACAGAAACAAACATGTGGATTTACACGACTTCTCCCTCTGATTTTCCCTCTGATAAACAAACAAAATCTTTTAAACATCACCAGGTTCCGGTATTTTATATCACATTAGCAATTTACATGAAAACAGAAATATGTAACACAAAATAAATGAATATACAACATCTTACTATAATATTATACATTAGTCTTTGAGTGCATACACATGTTAGAAGCTGTTAAAAGCACATGTATTGTTACATCCACAGCGAACGATCACCAAGTCCATACGCTCTGTTGTGAAATGTGGACTCTTCTAGATGTACAGTAGCTGAAATGCAGACATTATGAGGTCTTATGGCAGAAATGCACTGAATCTCATGAATAACATACATAATTCCCCTGTGATACAAGCGTGATGCTGTTCATTAACAAACTTGGAGCGATATGGGTAAGAAGGCTGTTAGAGATGAGTCACTGTGCAGACGTATGTTTACTGCTCGATGCGCTTTTGACAAAAGTAGCGTTTCGCTCCAGCATTACCGCCCTCCTGCCAGACGTCTGGTTCAGTTCACTCATGTCCACCCCAGAGTCTAAACTGGTCTCTCGACTCTCGACTGGTCTTCGTCTCCTCTGTTGCTCTGACACAGCGTAATGGATCTCAGCTGCAGGCTTGCCCTCCAGTGAGACAAACCAGGCCCGAGGAGGCTGAAGTGAGGAGATATTGGATTGTCCGTGCACCGAGTGCCTGCTGTCCAAGATTTTATGTAACGTCCCGGGCACTGACACTGACTCTGGGAGCCTGGATGTGTTGGTGGAGGTTGCTGTCTGGGAGCCACCTGAAGCTCCAAGCTTGTCTTCAGTTTCTGCTGCCTGGTGCTGGGTCTCAGGCGGACCTTTTGTCTGTGTCTGGGTGAAGTTTTCTTTACTCAAAGGCTCTGTGGCAGCACCATTTGAAGCCCCTGCACGGGGCAGGGTGGCTGACTTGCTCCACTGGGCCTGCTCTGGTTGCTCCTCTAAATGGAAGAAAGCTGGAGTGTGAAGAATTGCAACAGGCTGGTTGTAGAAAAACAAATTATCTGTCAGAGATACAGAAACTCTTTGTTCTGAAGTCTTGTGTGAACACGTCAAATCGTTCAGGTCCGTGTTCAGATCATTCTCCAGCATAATGGCCACAGCACTGGTGTTGGCTATGAAAGAAGCATTGTGTCTACTGTCCCTCTTTTCTTCAGGTTGCTGGTCCTGTGAATGAGAAGCTTTCCCTTCAAAGAGATCATCATCACATGTCGAAGTTTTTTGGTCTTTTGTCGTCACTGGTAGGATCTTTGCTGCTTTAGTTTCACCAGAGGAACACCTGCAGGTAAACCAGGACATTAGTAAATGATTATTTGGGTAAATTTAAGATTAATTTTTTATTCTTTAAAGGAATACGCCACAGAAAACTATCAACAGCTCGTCCCTGATAGTCCTATTGAGCCCAGCAAGTGTGTAAAGGGCAAAGGTTTATGATACACGTGTCATTACCTGTATTATGCAGAACTGGGTGATGCTACATGACCACAGTATGAATATTTGATAGAGGATTTTCAGTGAAATATTCACTTAAAAGTATATTGTGACTTCTAAGTGATAGCCCATATAGGACATGGTTATACTGAAAGTTAGAGATTGGACAGCATTTTTGAATTAGTGAGCCTTTGTGTGAAGGTTTTTGTTCTGGTCACATGTAATTGCAATGTGCATGACATGACAGCGGAGTTGCTGTAAGTAAACTATTGTTCATATCTTTATGATTCAGGGAGTTTGTCTAAGTCTAAGAATATTTTAACCTTTCAGCCATTTTCACTCCTTTGTCATAACATTGTCATTATTAACAAAAGTAAAGCAGCTCAGTGGGCCAAACTGGGATACTTTGTCAGAACTCCAGGCCTCAAGGGTTGATGTGCTGCAGGTTTTAGATGTATCCTTGATCCAACACAACTGATTCAAATGGCTAAATTAACTCCTCAACATGTCTCAAAGTTCTCCAGAGGCCTGGTAATGAACTAGTCATTTGATTCAGGTGTATTGACCCAGGGTGATATTGTTGGAGTTGCCCAACCATGTCTTAGATCTCCCTATTGTGAAAATAAAGGACTAAAGGATTCTGCTACATTGCAAAATCCCATCGAAGAGCACAAAGCATTGACCCAGAGCAACTCTGATCCACAGAGTTCCCATATGAAAACCTGCAGGACCCAAATTACCCACTGCAAACATCCTGATACTAGGCATTAAAGGACTTCACCACAGGTTTCAGGTCCACATCTCAGTAGGTCAGAGCTGATGTGTTGGCGCAGGTGGCTCCTACACAGTATATGGCAGGTGGCTCTAATGTTGTAGTTGGATCTGGTGTAGTTTAGTATAAAAGTATTTTTTCTCTTTTCTTTTTACCTGCAATAACATAACCCAACCAGAAGAGAGATGATAATAACGAGTGTCCCTCCAAAGAGAACCATCAGGAAAAAGGAATGCCGTATGATGAAGTCAATGGGAATGGCAAGTTCAAAGAAACCTGAAGAAGATCAGAAGGAGGACTTTTAGAGAGTCCAGAATAGAAAATATAAAATGTGATCAAATATGTAATAATATGTAATATTAGTCGCTGCCTTCCAAGGTTGTGAATAATGAAATTAATACAATGATAAAATCCAATTTTATTAATTATTCCAGTGCAGAAAATATCTGAAAGTCCGTACTGCTAAAAGTGACTTTTACCTCTGTTAGATGACACAGGTGCTGCGATCCAGTAGCCGAGATGAGGAGCTGTGAAAGTCCACACAAGACTTCCATCTACTGATGTCACCTTTCCTAATCCTTTTCTCATCCATGCCCCTGAAGAGACCCAGCAACCCTTTTACACTTATATCCTCTTTTCTCGCACTTATGTTAATGACTTATCAGATGAGTGGGGCATTAGTATGTGTGTGATTATGATTTCTACTCACCAGTGGTCTGGTTAAAGAACCAGGCTGGAATAACACTCGAAGACTGAAGTCCAAAGCTGTCGGGAATGTTGAGGTTCATCTGCACAGGCCCAGTCACATGTAACTCCGTGTCTCCTGAGAAAAGCTGCACGCTGACAGCTGCCACCGGGCTTAACTCCACACTGACATATCCTAGAGGACATTAATAAATGTGTAAGAGAAGAGCAGGTTATTATGTGCCCTGGGCAAATTTAGCTCCGACAGCTTTGGTTTTCTTTTCTTGAATAAAAGGTTCATGTAATAATACTTTAGTGTAATACAGCTTTGGTATTGTAGTTTAGTACTGCTTAAATCTGTGTAGAACTTATAAATAATTGTTACCCATTCAAAACTCATGTAACTGTGTAAAGGCCTTAACTGCTTCAAGCCAAAATGTCACGTGTATTTGTCTTTAGAACCAGAAGATGGCGCCAAAGTTCAGCATGTGAAGGAAAACAAATTCCGTTTTAAGGCAATTTCAAAAACTCCCTCAAAAAATATATGTGACAAGTAGAAAGTTTGTTTTTATGTTCTTGTGCGGCTCTTCTTGTACTCATGTATTCCCTTTTTGTGCCCCAGTACTTGTCTTCACGCTGTTACTTTCATTTCAACTGCCGTTCTGTCTGTCTGCTAATCATCTGTGGGTTTCAGTGGGAGTGCATCCACAGATCAGCATCCAACGTCTTTTAGATCACACGTTTCTTTTGAGGCTGCCATGTGTAGTAATGTGTCACTTCACATCACTTTTTCCACAACACGAAATTAAAAAATAACTCAAGGAAACTCGATCAATCGTCTCCTGCCGACTTCACCCAGTTAAAAGTAGTTTCCCGGCCTTTGTTGGAGCTGCATTTCATTTTCTGTTTCGTTTCCATGATATTCTGTCAAAATATGCATAGCTTGTGGCTTTGTGGTGACCATTTTACACACTGGTCATAGCGTAGGTCATAGCATAACTTTTTAAATGAATCAACGAAATGTCCATCCAGGGTCAAAAGGAGGGCTGGAGCGTCTCCCAGCTGTCACGGGGCAAAACGTATGGTGCACCTCGGTGTCTACTGTTGCTCCAGTATGAATGCCAAAGTATTCTTTGGAAAGATACTGAACCTTGAGTTGTTCCTGATGGGTTTCAGAGTGTGAATGTGTGTGAATGTTAGATAGAAAGCACTTAGGCATAGAAAAATGTGCTCCTATGAATGAGACTCATAGTATAAAGTGCTTTGAGTGCTCAAGCATGGTAGAAAAGTACTGTAAAAGAAGCAGTCCATTTACCACAGAGAGCTGGCTCAAAAACACCTATGGTCGGTTTAGAATGAACCTAACCTCATGGGAGGAAGCCCAAGTACCTCCAAAGAACATGCACACTCCACAACGAGACTCCAGCCACTGCTGGGTTTAAACCCAGGACCTTTTTGCTCTGAAGCAACCACTGCATCACTTCGCTGCCCCCAAATGCAGACATTATGAAGTATAAAGAAAAAAGTAATGAATGCATTGCACCTGTGAGACACCTGGTAACTCTGACTATACTATTCATGCTTTTGCAGAACAAAAAATACATCTAAATACCAGATTTATTGCTCATGATGCCTCGAGTGGCCAGGAAGCCCCCCTGCTCTGACGTCAGCCTGGGAATGGTCAGGAAGGCTTTAACAGAGGTGATATTACTGCTGTGTGTCAGGTTCAGCAGGGTTTTAGGAAAACTGACCACAGGCTGGGATGAAGCATCTGCAAAATGATACAAAACATTTGTAAGGACATTACATTTCCCAATTACAGAGAACAGGAGCATCAGTGACTTTAACAGCTTATACAGTACCAGATGTTCTCCCAGTGATCAGGACAGAATCCTCAAAAAGCCAGATGTTCCCTTGATTCACACCCTGAAGTGATAATGTCACTGATGAAAATACTACAGTAGTGACAAAGAGAAAAGGAGGAAAGAACCCAAATTAGCATTAGCACAATGGTTTACTTTTCTTCCACTAGATGGCAGTGTGGGGTTTTTTTATTCTTCAATGCTAATACTGTCCCCTCAAATGATACAAGCAAAGCGAAAAGCCTTTTTCTGGAAGAGGCTTACAGCAGCAATAGCTCAGGTTTAAAGAGGTTTCAATACAAAGCTTTAGTTAAAAGGAAAAATGTAGCATTGAATGTGGAAGAGGAGCAAAAGAAGCAAACACTCCAGATGTGGGTCAAAAAATAATCCCGGACAGATTGCAGCAGCCAGGAAAAGCGAATTAGGTGTCAAATGCAAGAAAGGTGGAGGAACGTTTGGCCTTGCACAAACAGAGAACGTTCGAAAAGAAGTGCGCATGAATCAAAGTGTTTTCCCTGGTTGCTTTTCATGATGAAATAAAACCCCCACAATTCTCTTCTCTCTCTGCAGTGCTGGTGTAAACATGTGACATTCAGCTATAACCAAAGAATAAATGGTTCGAGCTGAGCTAAATTTCAAAATGAGAGCTAGCATGGGAAAAAAAAAACATCCACACAATGTGCAAACACCCTGAACAGATGACATACTTGGCATTTTGTCGGTTTTACAAGGCAGCAGTGTGCAAATGTAGCCGTCATGGCAGGCAACAACTGTGAGAAGCATCCCAGTGTGGTAAGGTATGTGAAGCAAGACCCCACCATCCTCCCCAGAAAGAGCTGTTTTGGTCTTGGTGTAGTTGACGTAGACCTCCACCACTGCCTGGCTCAGGTACTGACGACTCAGCACATCATTCACCTGGACCTTCAAGCTGAAGGTAGAACCTGGGGAAAGAAAACCGATAACTGCAGGTTCACAAAATGATGGGAGCATAGTCATGGCTGCAGCTCTGACAAATGTGACACTTTACATCTGCAAGTTTATAGAAGTTATGATGAGGAGGTAAAAATATGTAAGAGTGCATCACTGCAACCCCTGAACGAGCAAGTTTCTGATGTTCTCTTAACAAAATGTATCATTTTAAGCTCCATGAACATTAAAAGCTTCAAATACTGAGCTTTAATATTTCAGCAGAACAGAGGTGGCTGCAGTGCTAATTAACCTGGACGAGACATTATTGACAAAACAACAAGAAAATTAGTTTACGGAATCCCTTGAGGGAATCAATCAATTAATCCCAGTGGACTGTAGAGATGGGGACACAAATGCTAATATTGAAAGTGGGCAATTAGTCCAGCAAAGCATGCAGTCACAGCAACATTTTGCCACATCAGCATGCAGACAGCTGCCTAGGGTACATATTTTCAATACTGTAATTCTCGTGAGAGTCTCCTAATCATTAAATGTTTCAAGCAGCAGCCACAGAATCCCATTTAGGCACCTTACTCAATTAGGCACTTTCACACTGAACACTGAGGCCCAATAAAAAGGTTAATGGAGACTTCTAAAGGACAATGTGTCGCATAACAATACAAAATACTCAGTAATCCATCACAGCCAAACAAGAATCACTGACTAAAGGATGAAGCCGATGCATTAAGCTACACTAATCAAAATATTTATTTAAGCATTGGATTAAATCCATAACACGATTAGATTAGAGTATTTTAGCCTCTTTTAGCTGTTTATTTTTGTTTTAAATCCTCAATACGTAGCCTTGCATACAAGGTCATGTTTAGAGAGACAGTGCTTGATAAAGCCCCGCCCACCCTGGTGAAGAAAACGATTCATGGCTCCCGGTTGCTTTCGTTTTATGCCAACGTATCTCCTTGTTAATTCTGTCTTCTACAGTGAATGCATACAAAATATATATTTAGGCACCTAGGTAAGGTGAGGTAACTTTATTCATACCCATGGGTAAGTTAAATTTGCTTTACGGAAAAAAATGATAGCATTTGGCATCCCTTCAAAAACACAAATACCTAATAAATATAAACCTCACTGTAGCACATATATGGTAATTTAACGTTTTGAATCAAAAACAAAAACAGTTCTTATTTAATTCAGTAACAGCTACAGGGACAAAGCGGTTTTTATAACGCTTATTCCTGCACCTTGGAGATAGAAACCTCCGTCCTGAGGAAAGAAGCTGAAATTCACCCTGTAGAAGATGGGAACCATTTTTAAGGATTGATAAAGTCATCGCTAAACAAGACTGTGGCTCACCTATCAGGTGACTGGACCATCTCACTATCTGATTCAGTGAGTGACTGAGGTCTGACCGAACCATGCCACCAAACAAAAGGATAAAACAGACTCAATAACAGAATGATAAAACAAAGTTCAATTTTTTTGGTCAATGTGGAAATGAGCAAGTTTCCTGAGGCAGTAAAGGTGCTGGTGACCCTTTTTACCAACTGATTTGCAGTTCTGATCAAAGTTCAGTTTTTCATTGATTATGGGGCCAAGATATTTATATGATTGCACTTGCTATATTTTCTGACCTTTAATTAAGGTGATTCTGACGCCAGGCTCTCATTCACTGCCGGTTGCTGCGTGTGCATGCGCCCAAATGATGTGGTCCATTGGTTAGTCCTGGTAAAAGTCCTTCAGTCAAGACTCAAATTCAGCATTTTTGCTGTCACTATTGTGGCTTCTGAAGCTATTTGTCACTTACACAGAAATCAATTGCTTAGTAATCCTTTTTTTATCCTAATGGGGGGCCATGACTCTCAAAATGAACTTGATGATTTTCCCAGTGAAGTGTGCACTGATGGCACAGATCAAAACAGCCCAAGGCACTCAGATTCTTGTCTTTACCATCTTCCCCCCGCTGGAAAATGGAATGGACTTTGCATTTGAGACTGGGAAGCTACAGCCATCTTTTATATACAGTCTATGGTCTGGGCTGCAGTGTGGTCATGCACTTTAAATATCTTTCTGATGGTGGGTACAGAAAAACCACGTCATGTGTCTATAAGTGCAGCCACTAATAAATAAATTTCAATTTTAAACTACTGCATTTGTATAAGTTAATCATTTTGAAAGAAGCTTGGTGATTTTTCTTGCAGGAAAATGTGGACAATTAACAAAGTTCAGAGTAACATTTTTATATTAGCAATTTCTTTACCTACAGTAACTCACTAGCATATAGCTAACATTAACCAGATGGTGGTAAAATAAATATCTGGCACAGATAATCCAATGCATTTTGTTAGATTTCATTATTTACATATTGTAGACTTTCGTGTCTTCCCCTCCAGTGGACATGGTTTCAGAAGATTCTATGAAGCGCTGCACACTTCAGCTCTGCTCATCACCAAACAGCAGACAACGTTTGCTACTACCTATTGAGCTGTTACAGATCCACATATCTGCCATGGTGCCTGATTTCGAGCCTTATTTTCTGTCTCGAATTATCTACGCCTGTGTCTTATTCCCTGAGTTGTTTCCACTTCCCTGATTATCACTTTGTGTATAAATAGTCCTACCCTCCCCTCAGTCCCCTCAGTGAACAGTGTGTGCTGAGCACCCTACCTGATTTCTTCTTTGTGTTCTCATTTTGGATTTTATTTTGGACTCTATCAGTCTGCATCATCCCAAATAAAACAGCTCACTTTTGGTTTTAAGTCTGCATCCTGTATGTGGGTCCTCACTCTTGCGTTTCCGCACACTATTTTTTTATAGGAGTTGGAGTAACACGTGACAGGTACCTCAGCCTTTCAGATGAATATCAGAGTTGAGTGTGTAAAAAGGTAGCTAGGTGCTAATGCTCATATCGTATTTTGCTAAGTGGCAAAAAAATCAATTAATGCATCTTTAAATTGTGACTTTTTCCACAGCCAAGTTCAGCAGTCCAAACACAAGCAGTGGTTCAATGAAGTAAAACAACTCTGTGGATCCATCTTTCTGTCATGGTAGCTTACAAAGCACGAGGATAAAGCAGCACATATTTACTGAAGAAAAAGAAATCAAACGAATGATTGCACAGAATAGCTGTAAACATCTGAGCCCAGTGACCCATATCAAATATAATAAAGCCGCTGAAAAGGAAAATGCTCCATGCCAAGAGTTTACTGTGTACAGATGCAACACTGTGGTAAGAGCTACATTAGCTTCCTTCACCTTATGCACTGTAATAAACACTGTCAACTGAGCTGCACCTCTGGCGTAGCTGGGAAAGTGAGTTTGGGGAGTCGTAAATCTCAACAGCTGGATCATCATCAGTTCTGTAGTTATTTTTCACCATGAGCTCATGAAAATGCCTTCATAACACGTTTTATTAATGGCTAAGTGTTGCTTACTGCCACAGCAGCGATGTAATGCTATAAGCATCTTTCTCTAATGGTGACAAAACCACTCTGACAGCAGCAGCGGATGAAATCGCTGCTGCTTTGATTGCTTATAATCCTGCTTCCAAAGGAGATGCCAAAGGTTTACTGCAAACTCATGAAGCTTTATGCGACCAGCTTTCCCAGTGTTTCACCAAGTGCCAAAGCCAGATAACCACATCAAGCCATATCACTGCCCCGAACAATTCTCTTTGATCAGAAGCAGACAAATGCCTGGAGCTCCTTATTTTCAGCCACAATGAGAAACAAACATGTCCATTTGGCTGTTTTATCCTCAACCCACCAAGATACTTACACCAGTGCAGATGGACACGAGGAGGCTTGTGTTGGGAGAGGCAGCCTCCGCTTCATGTGTGTTCCGCCTTAGTGGCCAAGCATAACAGAAGGGGGTCACTAAATCTGTAGTGGAGGTGCTTCGTGCCAGATTACTATAATCTCCCCATTTGGCGAACTGAACCAGGTTTATGAAGTGGGCCGTCTGAGGTCAGTGAGTGCAGATGAGAAATGGATTCCATATTGTGTGTACAATGTGGCTGGAATAGTGTTATCATCCTCCGCGGAAAAGTAATAAAGAATTCCACAAAGCTTTACTTTATAAATATGTGCAGATTTGAAGTGAAATATTAAAGTGGGCGATAATGACTGAAAACTCTGTCTGTGGCTAAATGCTGACACGCATCACCACATTATCACCTTTTTCTTTTTATCAGACATGACAACAACGATCAGAGATCCACAGGAAGGAACGCAAACATGTTGACTGGTCAGTTTTCAGACCAGACAGATGGTCCCACAGGGACTTATCTCTTGTGCCCCCCCCTCTCCCACATTTGTCTGTATGTGTTGGAATTGGGCCACATATTCCACTGATGGACGACAACACAATTAAACCTTTTTAATATGTGGGGTACAACAAGCATAAGTCAGCAATATCAAACCGAAGAAAGGTTTAAGACATTAAAAAAAATCACATTGGAGGTTGGGGGTTGGTTAGTGAAGTAGGGGCTCATGTCCTAAAATGGTCATGCTTGTCAAATAATTACAACGTTCCCCGAGGCCGAATGAGTAAATCGTTAAGTCTGCCGATCTGCTCGTTCTGAAGGGAACAACAATGAAGACGTTAATCTCAGTGTGGGTGAAGAGGCCATCTGTATTTGTGGGGGTGGGGGGGGGGGGGGGTGTTTTGTTTTTAACTCAAGTGGAAAGTGGGCATTTGTTCCCCCTGAGAGTTTACTTGGAACTGAAGGGACAGGGAAGCTAAGAGGACGTGGTTTTGTCAGGACTCAGCTGCAGGCCTGCAGATGGGGGGAGGGATGGCCAGAGACGACAGCATGCTTGGGTACATTTCCAAGTGTTGTAGTCAACAACACAGACCGGGGGATCATGTGATGGTAATGCACTCCTACATCAGCATGAATAAGTCATGAAATCAGTTGATAAGAGCGAGGTCACAAATCCCTCTTTCAGCTCCTCTGGAAGCAGAAAGTCTGTCACGAAAAGCTCAAGCGTGTCTGCGAGCGAGGGAGAAGAACAGACGAGCTTCCGAATGAGATTCTCCCTTAAATGTCGTGAATTAAAACAGCTCAGCTGGAGACAAATTGAAGAAGTTAAAAAGAAGAATGAGCCTGCTGTAGCGCCAGCAGATGATTTGCATGGAATTATAATCTAGACTGAGCTGATATCGAGAGCTGTCTGAGCTGTATTCCAAGCATGTGTTTGACATGCTTTTTGGCCAAATCCCAGAACACTTTAACATGTTAATACTGTCATAATGTTGTAAATAATGTGCACACGAAATGATCAAATTTGTGCCTGGTGGTGGCGATGCGCTAAAGGGAGACAGATGGAGACACCTTACTCATGAGTTGGCAGCAGGAAGATCCAACATCACTTATTGCTCATGAGCAAATCTGCAGATTTGTGAGAAAATCCTCATACAGATGGTCTAAGCCGGCTCAATAAAGGTTTCTTAGTCTATAATATGGTACTTGCAGCCTTTTGGGGAAGAAAGATGGAGAATGAATATATAAAAAGAACTGTTAAAAACACCGATTAGGTTCTCAGGATGTAATGCAGTTCATTTGCTCCTCAAACATTTAACTGAGGACAGAGTGTAAACTTTAAATCGACGTTACACCGACCTGGCCTGGGCTCCAGCGCTTGCTGTTGGAGTTGAAAGGGCTCTTGTTTCCTGGGATCCTGGTTTGAAAAGTTCCCATCATCGGCATGCAGAGGGTGTCCCGCAGCCGGAGTGAACTCAGCCCTTCCACGGCCGCATAAAACCAGCGAGCACAGCAGAGACACGCAAAACAGCAGGCGCATGACTTTCAAAGAGCCTCGTTTTTACTCACCACAGGTCCAGGTTTCATCTACAAAGTACACAAGAACAAAGATGCTCACTCCGCTGCCATCACAACTACTTTTCTGTGAGCCACCCTTCAAACAGCGCAGGAAACTCCGCCCCCTTCCACCGAGAGCCGCTCCATCCATCCATCTAATTTAATGGGTTTAATTCAGTTTTTTATTACATTTTTGTTTTTTTGCAAATCAGTTCTTATAAACTTTGACTGACATTATTTTTTTCCAAGGGTTTTTGAAAATTATTATTTTTATCATTATTTATTTATTTATTTAATATAAAGCACAATATTAACCCGAGATATTTCTAAATATTATAAAACAAAGCATATTGTTTTTGAATTAACAATAATAGTAAGAGTTTAAGAAATAAATAAAATAGTTTTTATTTGTTTTATTTAACTTTTACGCTGACTGTATTAATTCTATAAGCACTGCAAAATGTTTTTATTTCTTTTATTTATTTATATTTCTTTTTATTCTGATGCACTTTTCAAACTTTTCTTTTATGCATGTGATGTCATCATTACTAATATTGCTAGCATTATTGCTGTTAGTGCAAGTACTATATTTTAACCTTATGTAAAAAATTTTCAACAAGACATAAAAACTAAAAATATGGACAAAATGCGTTGATTTGCACTGACAGATGAGCTTAATTAGCACAGACCAATGTCTAAATGATGTTATAAAAATATATATTTGATTATGTTTTAGAAGCAAATGATTTATGTTAAAAAATGAGGACTATATTGATGTTTGAGAGATGTAGAGAACCATATTTGAGTTTCATCACATCACACTTAAGTTTTGCAACCTTCCTCCTACATTAGAGTCAAAGTTAGTCCTCAGCAGCAGTGTTTTCATCGTGCGCTGGATGGTGTTTTAATTTGATGTGCAAACACTTGCATCATGTGGTTTTTACCACTAGATGGGGATAATGCAATGTCAATTAACGAAGTGACACTTAACGTTTCCGTTTCAGTTAGCAGTTCAAAAGACTATCTTGACAACAGCAATTTAACCTCTGACCCTGAAGGCGGTTACTTCTAAATGAAGTTGTAGCTGCAGTGTGAGCAGTGCTGATAGCAGCAGCAATGATTCAAATCTCAGTTGTAGTTCTAGATGTCTTTATTTAATGGTTATTTATACATTTGTGGAAATTTGCATGTCTATTAAAAGCCTTCATTAAACATTAATTCTGCCTCCGGCCTCTTTTAAAATTTTCTCTTTCTACTTTTACAGCAATATTTTAATCAGTGATTCAAAATTCGACCACGCTGCACTCTTCCTCTGTATTTGTTCCCAAGTACAGAGGCAAAGCTGTGGGCAAAAGGCCACTGTGCGTGAAGGGGGTAAAAGATAACGTTTTCAGTCTTTTTTCTATGTGTTTTAAAGTTTGAAATGTGAATTTTGGGGCTGGAAAGGTCAGCATAACAACACTGTGGTAGTATAGGCTCCGCAGGTTTCTAATTAGGTAAACTGTGGTTGATTTTCCATTTGTTTTCTGCACATTTACAAGTTTTGTTATTTTTCTTTACTTTCAGTGTGGACTTCAGCTTCCTCACTGAATTGTCCAAATCTTTGTTATGTTCTGAGTTCATGTGCAGCTGGGGGGAGACCACTGCTGTCGGGGTGTGCTTGGCTTGTCAAGGTTTCCCAGCAGAACGCTGCATTGTAATCGGATGATCAGTGTTATTCACTTCACCCTGGCAGTCGTTTTATTCCAGACCATAATTACGTTTTTATTTGCTTTTTTGTTGTTGTTTTTTCCTGTTTTGTACTCGCTAACAATATCGAGAGATTAAATAAGGTACAAGTCATGCCCTGCTTCACTTCATTATGTCACCTGAAGGTTGGTTTCCTCACTTATGTCTGCCTGCGGAGCTTCCTGTTGCCAAAATATGAGTGAATCCTTCCCCAGCTGCTTTCTTCACCATCATAGCTCTTCTGTGACAGGAGCCTGAGCGAGGCAGTGAGCTGACACATTTGTCCTCCCAGCTCTATTCCCCTCTGACAAAGTATAAATCGGCGTCTAAACACACAAGCACGAGGATGGATGACAGCCCTAGTCTCCAGGATCAATTTGCCACAAATTAGATACAGTAATGGTTCATTTCTCCACATAAATAGCTGCATCTATGGGGACTGTTTTGGAAATCTGCTAGCTTTCACCCTGGAAATCTGTGCCAGCGCTCTGCTCCACCCCTGACTGCTTTCTTCTATTAATCTTATCGGAGCTCAGATAGCTTCTCTCTTTTGTCTTTCTGCACACAATGCTGCAGTTTATTAGTTTCTTTTGATAAAGGAAGAAACACGTCTGTTTAAATTTGTTTTTATCAAACTAAGCTTAACTACTCATTGCCTGAGAAATAAACTAATATTTTATAACACTAATATTAATAATGTACAATATCAGCCTTAATCAGTGTTGACTGAAGGCAATTACAGTAATGTAGCTAGATTTGTAGGTTTGACAGTGTCTTTACTGTAATCTACAATAACAGTTTCTTACTGTAAAAACAGTGTTGTTGTGCATGAAATGTCAATACTGAAGTGTAAGAGTTCCAGCTGTTTTGTTCCAAATGTACTGTAATCACCATAAACAGCTTATTACAGTAAATGTCTATATATATCATAATACAAATATATTTATTACTCCTTCAGGTGACTATTTTTGTTGGTACTATGTAAATGAAACTGAATTGAATTCAACTGAAGGACAGCTTCTAACTTTGCAGATCCTCTCCCAGGTGCACTTGGCTCAGTTTCTCATCATTTTGAATTTCCAAAATTCTAGGACACGACAGTGAAGTCGGAAAAAAGAGAAACACCCTGAAGGTGAACACTGGCTGGATTTGATTAATCACCACAGGAGTCTTGGTCATGGTGTGTCATTGCCAAATAAACCTAACTGTTCTCCACAGAAACACTGAAAAGCATAGAGGGTGCAGGTGGAGGCTTTGGATCAGGCAGTAGAGTGGGTCATCTACCAGTGGGAAGGTCAGTGGATCGATCTCCTCCAGTCTGCATGTCTGAACCCTGAGTTGCCCCCGATGCATTTATCAGAGTGTGTGTGAATGTTAAAAAAAGTGCTTGGGTGTATGCTGTATGAATGTGTGTGTGATTGAATGAATGAGAAAGCTGTGGCTATACATGTACCACACCATTTACCTCATATATCCAAAAAAAGAAGAATCTAAATAAATAACATCAATAAAAGAACCATTACAATACTTTAAAAACACTCGAGTTTAAACTCATGTGGTCTTTAAACGCCTCAGCACAAAAGCAGGCATTATCCACACCACCACCTCCTCGAGCTGCAGCAACATTTGACATTGTGTGCTGTATGAGGTATTGTAGCACTCGGGGAACAGACTCGGATTCTAGCTTAAATAAAAACTTTGCTTTATACAACAAGCTCTTACTGTCAAAGAAAAACTGAAAAAAGGGGATTTAATTAAGGTCCCTTTCGATTTGTGGGGTTAAATTATGAAACAATTCTGGCATAAATCCAAAGGATGTGTAATTATTCTTTTGTTTTTGGTGGTTTGCGGTCAGTATTTTCACCTGAGATGTATCTGTAGTCAAGTGTATTTGCAATATTTCGCAAAAATTATATATTTATCTTCTTACACTGATGTGAAGCTACAATTTCAATTTCTTGCCAGTAACAATTAACAGGTCTGGTGGGCTGAAGAGTATATATATATATATATACTTTTACCAATATCACAAGTGGTGGATCTTTAAGTACTTTGAGCTTTGGTGACTAATTTCCCGTTAATTGTTCGCTGTCATTTTGAAAAAAAAAAAGGTGGCGACACCAGCGGGTGGAGCGGATTAAAATGTAGGGCTTTGCAGCTGTGCTCTCTTTCAAAATACCAAGGCTGGACCAGAGGCAACACACTGACGCGAGTGTGTAAGACAGGAAAAATGACAAAGTGATAGACAGCGTGTCACGCAGTGAATAAGCCCTTGCCTGGAGGTGCATGACTTGCCATTAATACTGACAACATCAGCATGGCTTTTGGGGTCTGCTGACATGCCGTGGAATATTATTGCAAGATAATAAAGACTTAAAAGGAAGTTTTAAAACAATGGCAAAGAAGAACGCTGATCGCGCTACTCCAGAGGAGACATTGCAGGACGTTACATCAGGGCTCTGTTGAAACAGACTTTCTAGGTCTTCACGGGAGTTTTCAGAGCTTTCCAAACTCCACATCTGCTTTTGGAAAACTAACTGGATTTTTATTTAATTTAAGTCAAAAAGTAAGAAGCCTAAGATTGAGTTTGGACAATTTCATGTCAATTACAGGGATACATTTTGAGAACATTAGAAGTTTCTCTGATTCCTAATCTTCACTTGCGTGCCAAAAAGAAATACATGTTGACATGTGAATATTAATGAGAGTGGGCTCGATGTTAAAAACTGTCATACAGAGACAACTGATGAAGCGTTTCATCAACACTGCCAACTGCCAGGGTGATGATGCCGATACAAGCACATGAGGCCACTGAATGGTTTGATAACTAAAGTGTAGAAGGGGCTTTTTATCACCAACATCAAAACACATATTGAAGTAATACCATTGGTCCGTAAAGAGTGTTTCCTTCTGACAACAGAGTTGGACCTGGAGAACCAATGCCCAAATACCCGTGGGCTAATCTGTTCTAGCCTACAGGTAATGGTCATTGTTTCTCTGTATCCTTTGTATCTCTCTTAGTATTGTCTTTCATCTGAATCAAGTCCTGCAGTGTTTGGCTGGTGATGCTAACACAGGCAGCTGTGGCTTGCAGCGTTTCCATCCATGCTTATTTAATCCATGTTTATGATGCTGGTATCTTTTGACACATTTTTAAAATGCATTTTAATACATTTTTATGATAAATACAGTCATATGAAAAAAGTTTTGACAGGACTCTATGCAGTCATGTGGAAAATGAACTACACCCCATGACAAACCTTCAGCAGTAATAATGAAGTAGTCTAATTTCTCGGCACTATCCCAAAGATGATGCGATGGAGTGTTTTTTCCCCTGTGTTTTAGTTCTTACCACCATGCGTAT